TGTGGCATCATGCAGAGCATTATGGAGATGGCCTTGAAGAAGGAATTCAACAGCCATTACATAAATAGCAGCTCAGCCCTGGAAGGGAGGAGAGAAGAAGAAGGAAACTCAAGATTGCTCCACCTTGATTCTCCTTGGTATGAGAGTAGAGAGAGATATATTCTGCCAGGCTTTCAAAATTCTGTTATTATATCCTGAAACAATAGAGTTCCAGTAGTCCTTGTGGAGTCTGTTTTCCGGTCTGGCCTACCTCAAAAGGCTAATACATCACCAAGATAAGATGTATGTAGCTTATTTATTGAGAGGTACATTAATACCATCTAAAGTAGACTCATGAAGAGCCAAGAATCAAGTCTCTGCTTTGTTGTGTAAATAGATTATCCCTCTGAAGGCATCCTAACTGCCAATGGATAGTTTGTGCTCTAGGGAAGGAAAGAGATATTCCCTTCCTTTTTGAAAGGAGATTCTCTGTTTTATTACAAGATACATTCTCTAGTAAAACCCGAGTCATCTGTTTTAAGGGCTATTGTCAGGATTGATGTGGAGAAAAGAATAGGTACCAGTCAACAACATTTAGGAGATTTTAAGATCCATGGATCAGAACAGAAGTCATTTCAGATCAAATCTAGTTCATGTAAAGCACAATACTTTTCAAGAGGCAGAGTACCACACTCCATTGGGATTCATTGAGTGATATCTTTTTGATTGACATAGTTCACAGCACTAGTGCAAATAAGAGTGTATAGCAATTATTCTTAGACCAGAACTGTAGTAATGATGCTGTGTGATTCTGTGGTTTTGGATGCTACTAGATTTCTCCATTGTTTTAATCACTGGTTCACAAAGATTTGCTCCTAATGTGTAAATAAAACTTAAAATATAAAATTTCAATAAAAGTTTCTGAAAATGCCAATCAGTTATTGAGATAATTTTAGGGCCTTTTTTCATGTTTTATATCTTTGCCAACAGGAAAATGTCTGACTGTGGAAATAATAGAATAGCAAGTCTACCCCATAATGAATAAAATATGTAAATGTGCTCTTAATGTATTGCTCTACTCTGATTTTGTTTTCTGCAGTGATACTGTCAAAAGGACACACAACATATTCTATTTAAATAATATGAATGATTCTACACTTTTTTCATCTCTGTGTCCTCAGCTCTGGAAGGTCACAGATCTGTCTGAATCCATTTTAATTTTTCAAAATATAAAGTAAAAGAAAGAAAAAAAATGCAAATAAATAAGTAAAGGAAAAAAGAATATAAACAGTCTTTAAAATATATAAATATTTATATTTAGGCATACTTAGAATATAGTCCCTTTTTTTTCTTTTCTTTTGGTACATTCAAGTCAGTCCTGATTCATGGTGACTTACATGGACAAATCCAAGTAGTTTTCTTATCAATATTTTTGGATGTGGTTTGCCATTGCCTCCATCCTAGGGCTAAGAGAAAGTGACTGACCCACAGTCACCCAGCTGGTTTAATGTGTAAGGTAGGACTGGAACTCATAGTATCCTAGTTTCTAGCCACTGCATCAATCAGGCTCTTTTTAATGAGACGGAATGACAGACATCATCCATTCTCCATTCCATCTGAAATATGGACCAGAGCACTGGATGTAAACACAAGACACTCACACTGAAGGTTTGCATTACCGCATAATGCTTTAACAAAGCTCCTTGATAGCAGACATGTCAAAAAGCCAAGATGACAACTTTGGTTGCACAATTGTAACTGCTATCTTGGCTTTTTTTAATCGTCTCTTGTGGACACCCATGCTCCATAATACAAAAGGACAGTATGGGATGGGAATTATAGAAAAATGCTACAGAAAAAAATGCTTGAAATCATAATCTTATCTTAAACAAAGAATTGACCTTCATAGATTTCCACTCATCCCCGGTTTCTCTAGAGCCTTAATTTAGCTCTCCCTTATATTATCTATAGTGCCATCTATGTGCTCAGGCTGTACAAAACATTAGAAATGATATCTGACCTAAAGAATATAGTACACAAGATACTTTGATGGTACTTGATTCAAATAATATGCATTGTATTTATGAAGTCCTGGTGAAGAACTTAGTACAAATGAAATCTGTCACGTAAGTTTATCTTATAAGATAGTCAACCATTTCAATATAATAAAAACTTCCATCCTCCATATGAACATAAGCTGGTCACCCAAAAGAAATGATAAAGCAATATCAATTTTATTGAATTGATAAAGGGGCAAAGCAACCCCATCTTACTTGTGGAGGAACCACCATGTCCCGTGCTCTGCCATTTCACTATGACCAGTGGGCGGTTACTGGGACTGGTAGAAGGTTTCATTAGTTCATGAATTACATCAGGAAAATGTAGATGCTCCTCTTGGCTCCAACACAAATGAAGTGTCAGAGCTTTCTGCAGCTGGGTTGAGAAATGTCCAGTGTTTTAAGTGTAGTCCCACTGACATAATACTATTTCCATCAGCAGAGTATCATTTTTGCATTTACACAAGAATGCCCTCATCTAACTGATGAATTTTTGCTTCCATTCTCCTCTCTAAACAATTGCTATCTTTCCTTTCCTCTCAGAGATTGTGGATTTTTTTTTTAAATGTAATTGCTTTACATTGGCACTGGAATATTTAATTACAAGTACTTTATTTGATGCAAAAATTGCAAAAGAATTGTGCAGAAGGCTGCATTGATACCTGAAGAAAAGAGAACAAGAGAGAAAGTAGGATTATACTAAAAGCCAAGGTAATCATGTTGGCCATTCTAGAATCCATATTGGGACAATATCTTCATTTCAGCAACTGAAAGATTGAATATTCAGTAGGACTAACTAAAATGCCTCATAGTAGTGATCAAGTTTCCAAGTTCTCTGAAACTCTTCTTCAGGAAGATTAAGCCAACAAACAAACGAGTGAGGGTAAAGAAGAAAGCATTACTAGATACCTTACAAAGTAAATGGGGTCTTGTTCACTAGTCCCCTACCTTGCTTGACTCCCATGTGGTGGTGGCGATTTACATTCTGCTCAAAGTTCTGGAGAAGGGCAAAGTTTCACAACATTTTAGTTGCTGTGAGCGATAATAATAGAAGAACATTCCCTTGTAATGGATTGCATCATCCTTAAAATTATTGTCTTCTTTTGTATTAAAGGCAACGATGGTCTTGTATGTATTGATCCCCACCTCTCCCCGTGGGTGTATAAATGGCAAGCCGCAAGTATTCACAAGAAAAAAACAAAACAGAAGACTTGTAAAGTTTAATGTGTACTGCCCGAGGACCATCCCTTTTCTGGAAGGTCACTTAGAGTGTCAGTCTAAATGGGGCCTTACAGTACTTCCAAGCAAAAGCGCGTATAGGATTGCAGCCTGCGGTGGCGAAGCGAAGGCCACTCTTGCTTTTTGCACTACTCCCTCGTGACGCTGAAGCGGTGAGTTGGCGCAGCAGACTTTCTGAAGGCAAAGCGTTTATATGGGAGATACGTACACTCCCGCGAGCAAAAGCAAATCCGCTCAAAAGAGCGCCTAAAAGTCGGGAATGAGCCAGGGAAAGAACGGGTCGGTTATTTTATCTAGCGCGCTGCCGTCCTTGCAGAGCGGGGCGGGTGTGTTTATCTGCATTTCCTCTCTCCATCCTCGCCTTCAAAACTTTAGCCTCGGGGTGAGGGCGGCAGCCTCGCGCTTCGAGGCGGAAGCCGGACGAGAACTAAAAGCTGATTTGCAGACCAAGGCTAAGAGTCTAAGAAAGGTGCAGAAGAGAGATGGAGGGAGAGAGGGAGGAGAAAGGAAATGTCAACGGCGTTGATTAAAAAAAAAGGGGGGGGGAGCCGCACTCGCTGCCTGTCTTGAATCTCATCCCTGCCAGGCTTCGGTCGGAAAAATGTTTCCAAAGTGCCTCGAAAGTTGGCCTGAGCGTTGTGATAGCGCTGCCACAGCCTCCCTGGTGGAAGACGGCGGACTCCTTAGTCTTGCACGGCTTTCTCCTCCGTTTCGCCGCCAAGAGCGGCGCAGCCTCCCGATTCTCCCCGTCAGACCCGCAGTCCGCTTCAGCCGGAGGAGTTGGCTCGCAGCCCGTCCCGAACGGACCACGCCGCTTCGCTCTTGCGGCGCCGCTTTCGCATCAGTCCGTAGATTTCGCTACTGAGCTGAACAGGATAGAAACAATGGGGCTTGCGCAAAACGAGATGGCCAAACTGATCGGCGTTTGAGCAAAAGCTCTTCCAGCCCCGATCTCTCCCTAATCATCCGAACAACCTTTCTAAAAAGATTGCTGCTGGAGGACCGCGGGCGCCCTTTCTCTTAAACACCTAGTCCCCTCGGGTTTCTGGCCAAGAAGACTTACTTAGTCTGGGTCTCTTCCAGCAGCAACCTTGCCCTCTCCCCCTGCCCAATTTTAAAACGCTATCATCTCACATGGAGGGGGGAAGGGGGGAGAGGGATGTGACTCCCCGCCTTATTGCCGCGATCGCTATGGCTGCGTGTAATAATAGAGGATTGTCATTAGGGTTGTTCCATGGCATATGTCGTTCTGCCAACTCTCCTAAACCACTAACCAACCCTCCCCCGCTCTCCCCCCCCCCGGCGGTAAAAAACTAAAATTAGCAAAATGTCAGGCATGGCAAGATTGATTCAGCCAAGATGCAATTATCATTTAAAAAGTGCTTGATTGAGGTGCCTGATGTTGGGTGATTTATTCTGCATACCATATACATAATTAAAGTAGGGTAGTGGAGTAATTTATCAATCTCGTTGAGACTAGAGAGGGGCAAGGAAGGCGGAAAGAGAGAGAGAGAGAGAGACGGGGAGAGGGATCTTTGCCGCCGCCTCTGCTCCGCTCTGAGCTGGTCGCTCTCTGCTCTCTGTTTGTTTTATTAAAATGCGTTCGGGATGTGATCCCGCCCCCTTTTTTCAAGAGCGAAACTGATTATTTCTCCAGCTCGACAAGAGAGAGTCTTTCGTTTGGGATTGTGGGAGAGAGAAAAAGAGGGAGGAAAAAGAGGAGGAGGAGGAGGAGGAGGGAAGACAGGAGGAAGAGAAGCCTCGCCGGGCGTGGAGTTTTTGAATCCTCTCTTCCCTGCCTCTCTTCTCTCCCCCTCCCCTCCTTCCTGCGATCCGTGATGTTACAAAGCCCGTGAGCTGTGCTTTCCCCATTCGCCTCCTGTCACTTCCTTCCTGGACGCTCTCAGGACGAGTCCGCTTACTTTTAATCCGACCAGCAGCACGGGCACTCGCGCCTGCTGCACGCTGAGGGGCACACGCCGCCGCCGCCGCCGCCAGCGCCACCACAGAGCTCCTGGCAGTTCATTGGATTGATTTTCAAGGTTGTGTGTGTGTGCGCGCGCGGGCGTGCGCGCGCGCGCCCGTGTGCATGTGTGGTTAAAGGAGGCTGCGTGTTGGACCAGGTGGGGAACATCTTACAAGGCTGGAAGAACTAAAAGCTTTTTTCCCCGTTCCTTCTCCTCCAATTCCTCCTCCTCCTCCTCCCCCATTCTACTCAATTACTTCTCTTTCTCTCTCTTGTTTCTCAAGAAGAGGAAAAAAAATATCTCAAGGACTCGTCTGATTATCCAAACGTTTGCGATGTAAGTACACGTGCAATTCCATTTAGAAGTCAGGCTGTGTTGACACTGCTGGGATGTCTAGTGATAGGCATTGTGATATATGTGGCAGTAAAATAAGATGTCCTGGGAACATAGGGATGGTCAATTCATCCAGCAGTAGGTGGCTTTAAAGTAATGTCACACTCTTAAGTCACCTAGGTAAGTTGCTGAGGATTTCTTTCCTCTCTTCCCCTCTATCTGCTGCTTGAGTGTTTAAAGTTTCATGAAGTTAGTTCACGTCATTGGTGTGTTTTGGTATTGTGAAGTGCGCTAGGGTTGTTTGTCTTTTAACATTTCACCAAATGCTTATGACCTTGGAGTACTTGCCCCATGAATTATCAAACAGTGCAGTGAAGAAATAAGCTGGCATAAGAGCAAATGCCCTTTTAAACTTCGTTGTGTGTGCAATACATCACTTTCTTTTCATGCTTTGGTTTTCATCACAGCATCTCTCCCAGCACATCTTTGCCTTTATAGGCTTCCTTGTGAGATGGAGGAAATGAGAACATTTGAATGGAAAAGCAAGTGATGTCCCACTTTTGCAGTCTTTCTAACTTTAACTGTAAGTTGAGCGAGGTTGCATTTGCACTTTGGCAGCCTGATTTTCTGTTCTATTAATTAAAATTTCAGGCTGAAGATGGGTATGAAAGAACAAGGGAAGTCAATTGAGGATACTATTTCATTGTAAACATATAAAGTGATTATATTTTCTTCCTAGGACCTAATGGCTTCCTAACAGACTCGGCAATGGATATGAGAAATTGCTTTTAATAATGCTGTTTATTAAGATATAGTAGAATGATAGAACTGTGTGCTTTAATATTGATGTTACTTGCAAATGTTGTGCAGTCTCATCTTTAAGTAGCACAGATTGGTCTTTAAATAAGATACTTATGGCATGTACTTTATACCTGCTACTGTTGGATAAGTAAGCAGCATAAGGGCAATCTGCCAGTATTTCAGAGGTGAACTAAAGATTCTTGGCTTGAGAAGAAATGTTTTTTAATGAAACATAAAAGTCATTATCTTAAAATGGTATCAGTTCCTGTATACTTGTTTTAGTGCAATATATAAATATGTTCCATGGCCCAATTGTCTTAGTCATATATATATGAAATCTGTATTACTTTAAGTTGCATTCAGTAGGGATTGCATAACATAGATACCTGCGTGTAGTATAATAATACTAAACCCTGAGGCGTAGCAGAAGCAGGGTACCTGCGAATTGATAATTCTGTTTTAAAGAGCAGTTTCAGGTACAACTGGACTACTTTGATTTTTTTTTTTTTCAGTTTAAGATTCTAAGATGTACTCAGCATTGTATCAGATAGTCTGGGAGCATCTTTTAAGACTAACGGATTTTATTACAAGGCTTTGGTGAGCTGCAGCTCACTATCAGAATAATAAAAGTAATGTATTTTTTTTTAATATACTGTAAGAGGTTATAGGCAATTTATGTAATTAGAAAGTATTAAAGCAATTCCCGTTATTGTTGAATGGCCATTGCATTCATTTTAATATGCAAAAGATTATTCAGTGCCATTAGAAGCACTGACTAAAATCTTCAGGATTTGGAAAGTCCTGTCAGAATTATTGAAGATAACGTATATTACTTTGTTTTAAATCTTATAGAAATAAATTGCTCTTGTATGTTCAATTATTAGTTTTGAAACACATAAACATTTACATGAGTTAAGTCTCAGAGAATTCCTTGTATGACAGTCGTATAAATGAGTGAAGGTTTATGAAATGAAGCTCATTATCAGAAACAAGTATCTTTGGGGTTGTTACGAAGCATGCTCTAAAGAGTGTAGACTGCCAACTGATTACACTCCCTTAGATTTTCTTTTAAAGTATGCTAAATTATTAAAGTCACATCTGTGTAACAGGTGATATATAACTGCATTTAAATTAGAAATGTAATAGTGGAATATCCCAGATTCAAAGCTGAGTAATACCCTATTAGGACGTAATAAAATGGCACAGAAGACTATATAACCTATTATTAGACTATGTTATTTAAAGTAACATGTCTGGACTGTCTTTTCTAGAATAATTTACATATGCAATAATGAAATCATAAAACATTGAATTTAAAGATGTTTATTTACAAATAAATTGTAAATAATAATGATGGTATTACTACTAATAATTAAAATGTACTTCTTTGCTGTCTTCTAATACCAAGAAGATAGCAGACTTTGTTAACATCATGCAAATATACAAACAAGTACCTCTGTACTTTAAGTGTATACTCATGGGGAAAAAAGACTCGAGAGGAAAACTATTTTTGCCTCACAATATAAATTATTATACAATTGTTGGGTGAGTAAATAGAAATAAACTTTAAACAGTTAGCATGTCTGAACTGCAAACTTGCTTAACTCCTGTATGTTCTGTTTGATACTGACAAAAAATAAGCCCACAGTCTAAAACACATGGATACTAAAATTTATAGGACTCTTTGAGAAATGCATTTTTTAACAGAGGGTTAGAGTTTAAATATTTTGTAAGCAATATTATTTTCAAAGTAGGAAAACATGGAACAGTCGTTTTAAGCGCTTAACAAACTAGACAATGGCATTTTTACTTCCTTCCCTGACTACCCCAGGGTTTTTTTTTTTCATTTTTTAGTGATTTCAGAGCATCATAATTCCATGTTAATATCAGAAAAAATGGTCACATTAAAAATGTTAAGATTTAAACCTGTTGGACACAGACCAACTTTTCAACTATGCCATTTAGTCACTTTTTAAAAAAAAAAAAACATAGATTGGGATAGTTTTAAATTCTCTGATATTTTTATATATGGAGCATAAATAAGTCCTATTAATGGAAACAAAAATAATTCACTCATCATTTCTACTATAAGTGAGCATTTATCCCAAGTATCTGTCTGATGTATATTCTTTTACCTCCTTCAATCTCGTAGTTGAATTAAATGTTCATGTTAGGTATTTGGCAAAATGGAGACATAAATATCAAATTTAGCAAAGAAATACAACCGTGTGCAGTATTGTTAAAAGTCAAACTGAACTATGGTAGGTTATGTTTTCAATGGCTGTTGCTATAATTTTGCATTTATAATATTTATAAAGAAGGGCCTATGGACTTTAGAGCAGATTAACATATTGCAGAAGTTGTATGTAAAGTGTGCACATACCCAAGCACATTTCTTTATTTTGGGGTTATAATGATTGGTTTATGGCTCTGAACTGATTTAAGTTAATCTTCTGAGGGCTGTCAGTCAATATGGTACTTGTGGACAGGTGTGATTAAATCCTACTACCTTCTATCCTGTACCTTAATCTTATCTGTTGCATTGACTGCAGTGCAGCAAAGCATGGCTATTTGCTGGGATCTGTCATCTTTAGGAAATCAGAGCAGATTATATAGACAATTCACAAAACCAACAGGGACAACAAAGTCTTACGTGCCTTAAAAAGGAGGATTAGGCAGTTCAGATGTCAACTTGATTGGACAGAGATAAAAGCTGATTGCTGCTGCATGCCAAGGCACACTTCATTTTCAATTGGTTATTTATTAGGTAAGGACTATTATAGTTTGCTTAATCATGGTTAAGATACAGTTGGAAATATGGGGAGTTCAGATTTTCAATCAGAATATGTGTTTTTGGGAGAGATGTACTCATTCAGAACGCAGCATATGTTGTTACAATGTTTTAAGAGACTGTGCAGTGATTATAAAATTTTAGAAAGTTCTATTTTATGAAACTACAATACCTGGTGAAATGGCACGTGCCCCAAGTACTATAAGATTATTCCAAAAGTGTGGTCCTTTTTTTTACTATACATACATACAACAGATTGCAAACAAAAGCAAAGTACATCCAAACCTTTTCAGAGAATTTTTGCTGAAATCATTGGGATTGCTAGTAAATACATTATTTCAGAATTGCAAGAATTCAGTTGACTTGATAATTTATCAGAAAATGTATTGCCTTCAATCTGTCTTATTCCCAGGAACTTTTGACTTTTATGTTTAGGATGGAGTATTCAGTTCTATTTTGTGTTTGCGTGCTGTATTTGGAAAGTTAACTGGCATTTTTCATTATAACATTTAAAAGCTTTGAATCGCCTTGCTGATTAATTGTCCAGTATTTCTCACCTTTTAAAAACAAAATACTGTTTTTAAAAAGCACAATGGATACTGTTTTGCATGCTGTAGCATTAGTAAGTCAGCCACAAGCATACATACTGTGTTTGATTGCCGGTGATGGAGAAGATTTCTAAAATATTTAGAAAATTTTCTATTAATTTTATGTATTTTTAAATTAGAAAAAGTTATTCAAGAATTAATTACACTTGTTCAATTACACATTCTTGATATTTGTGATATTTTTGTGTTCACTCACTCCCCCTCCCAATTTCATATGACCTTTATTTACAGGATTCACAGTTTAAATTGTGGTTCATAAGCTGATTTGGATTTATGCACTCTGATCCTAAGCATATTTGCTTGGAAATAAGTTCCATTGAACTCAGTAGGGTATAAAGTAAATGCATATAGAGTTGAGATACCGGTCACTCTGCAAAGAAGTACCTTAGTGCTAGGTTCCTATGTATGTTTATTTGAAAGTAAACTCCCCGAGAGCTAGTAGAATTTGTTTTGAAATGGTAAGTTAGATTAGGGTGTCAGTCAACATAAATCAAAACATTATGATATAACTAAATTGGGTGTATAAGTGTGAGAAATAACACTGATAAGGTTACCTTAGTTTGAGCGTGATAAAATACACAAGCCTGTAACAGTCCATTTTGCATACTGCAAGCATTTCATAGCACTATAAAATGAAAGTTTAGATGGTAAAAATGTTATACTATTGTGATACTATATGTGGACTTTATCAAATGTTATTAAATAAGTCAAATAAAAATGTATAGTTGCTGCTGAGGATTAAATGTAGTTAAAGAGGTTTGCCATAAATAATCAAGAATGAAACATTAAAGCTTGCCATAACATTCTTGAAATTGGGTTAGGTTTTCAATACATGTAAAAATATACATTTATAAAATCAGTATTCATATGCAATATTTTAGCCATATAGAAGGGATTATGTCTTCAATCTGTAAACCTCTCTGGTAGCCACTAGTTTCAGTGGGGATGAGCCACTGAGCGACAATTTTAGTTTTCAATTTTTTGTTTGCTGAACAAAAGTGTAACTTTATAAATCAGTCATGTAGCGATGAAAGAACCACTTAGCAAAAATTTAGTAAAAAATATTTGTCACATGATTTCTTACGTGCCTAAACTATATGTAATCTAGAAAGACTGAATAATTATTTTGAATAAACTTTCATAAATGGCAACTTTTGGAGAACCTTATAGATACCAATCAATAATCTACGTGTACACTTAATCAAAATGTAATCTATTAATGGTATAATAAATACACCATGTCTTTTCAACATACTAAGAACTAACATGTCATGGACTACCATAAATGTGGTTTATGGCCTGTATTAAAAATGTGGAGGATAATAAAACTATTTTCTCATCTATCTAGAATTTGTAAAACTAGTTTTAAAATTTGGATAAATA